GGAAAAAACTCTCTTGTAAATGGCAAACATTTGTCAGCATATGAATATAGAAAAATGGGGGGGGGGAACTGTCCTTGTTAGGGAAAAGTCTGGACTAGAGTGAAACCGCCCTTTCATTTCCTAGATAAAGTAACTCAAGAGGAGAAGCATAATGAGGAGCCCATGTCTCAGAAAAGATCTGCTTCAAATGGGGGGTATCTGTGTGAATTGGTGCTTTGAACTCAGTACATGTAATCAAGGTGGTTGGAATCAACATTTTCTTATAAAATAAAATCGAAGTAAAACTTGTTATTTCAATTAATTTTTTTTAGGCAAACTCTTAAGTCTTAACTTTCTCAGTGCTATAAAATATTATATTACCTAAATCAGAAGGTTTATTAAATAATATTTTAAAAGCTTCTAGTACCATATTAGAAACACTAAGTTCTCAATAAATAGAACATTAATTATTAAATATCCATTAGTATATCTATTATGATCACTCTGATTCTGTTAATAGTGCGGCTAGCCCTGCTCTGTATAGATCTGTTGTTTAGTAGACAGGAGACAGAGACTTTTGTGGCATAGGCTGGCCTTGTTATATACCCAAGGATGTTCTTGAATTCTTGATTCTCTGCTTCTACTTCTTGAGTGCTGGGACCATAGATATTCAAGGATGATTTTGAATTCTTGATTCTCTGCTTCTACTTCCTGAGTGCTGGGACTACTACCCTCAGTTGATTTGTTTTATTCAGTGCTAGAGACTGAACCTAGGACTTTGTGAACACTAGGCAAACATTCTGCCAAGCTAGCTACACCCCAGTCCCAAATTGTTCTTGTATTTCTTTTCTTTTTCTTTTTTTCCTTTTAAAAATTGTGAGTAAAAATAATAGAGGATGGACTCGAGAGATGACTGAGCTGTTGAGGCCATCTGCTGCTCTTGCAGAGGACTCAAGTTCATATCTCCATATCAGGAACTCCAAAGGGTTTTCTTACCTCTGCAGCCTATTTGCACACATGTACACACACACACAGATATAGAGTAAGTAATAGCGGAGGTGGATACTCACCTGTATTTCTACGATACTAATGAAAACTTTTTTCTGCTGTTAAATGTGTATTTGTTCTGTAGGAAGCTTTATCACCACTGATATATTTGTGAATTAGAAATGAACATTGTCAGAACTTTATTTAATTAGCTTGCAGTGTTAGAAATTTGGATACAGACTTGAGAGATGGCTAAGGGCTTAAGTGCACTTGCTGTTCTTAAGAGGACCTGGGTCTGATGCCCAGCGGCCACATGTAGACTCTCAAGTCTCTGTAACTCAGAGGATCTAATGCTCTCTTCTGGCCTCCCTGAACACCAGGCACACATGTGATACCGAAATACTTGCAAGCAAAACATTCATACACATAAAATAAAATTTTAAAAAATTGGGGTATCAAAACTAATGGAATTTAAAAAGCAGTTTTATGGCAGGTTGCTTTGAGAGAAGTTAGAAAATAAGTGCACTGATAAAGAACCTTTGGCTGTGTGGTTTACTCAAGTTTCCTTACTCTACTAAAGCATTTTGAAACAGATCCTGTAAAAAAAAAAAAAAAAAAAAGTGAGATCCAGGACGGCAACTTAAGTGTCAGAAGCTGCCAGCTAAAGGTGGGGGCTTCTGTTGAAAGCTTTCTGTCACAGCCTGCTCGCTCAGTTTACAGGGAGCAGGTTAGGAGGGTGTTCCCAACAAGAGCTGCATTCTCAGTTTTTCACTTTCCAGCTCTCTTTTTTTTCTCTGACAAATACCTCAACCTAGCCATCCCTCACTACTACCATGCTGGCTTGATTAACAGATAATAAATTAAAAACCATGTTCTAACATACTAGACAGAAAACTGTACAGTTAGAAATGTTAGTATCATTTCTGTGTGTTCCAGTCTGGCTCATTTAAGTCCCCATGGCCTCTCATGTGGAAGGTGTATTGATCCTTCTCATCTTCCCTCTCCACAGGGCTTTATCTATGTCTTTTCTATATTTCTTTCTCTCCAAAGCTTGCCTTTTTTCTACTGTGCTCTGCCTGTACTCTCTGATAACATGCTCAGACAGGGATTTGAGAGTCTATACAAATCCTTATCACTTCCAAACACTGAGAACAGTTCCAACTTGTGTTTCCCTATACTTTTATACTACTCCCTTATTTTTTTTTAATCACTTTTAGAGACAAGGGGAAACATGCAACTAATAAAGCCTTTTTAGGCACTGAAGTATTCTTTACAAAGTAAAAATCTAATTTAATAAACCCTCAGTTTAGCTCAGTTTATTTATGGCTGATATCATTTGGAAGTACAATTATTGGGCTGTAGAGATGGCTCAGTGGTTCAGAGCACATGTTGCCTCTCTGGATGATCTGAGTTTGGTTCCCAGCATCCATATCAAGTGGTTCACAACTGCTTGCAACTCTGGCTACAGTGGATCTGAAATCTGTGACCTCTGAGCATCTGCACACACGGTACACAGAAATTCATGCAACTACACATACACACCCAAATAAAAACATCCTTTTGAAGGTTTTGTTTTTATATATATATATATGCGCAATTGAGTTCAGCTTCCAGGTGCGCACCCTCCTGGAGCTGGAGTTCCAGAAGGTTGTGAGCCCCTCAGTATGGCTATGGGGACCTGAACTTGGATCCTCTACAAGAGCAGTGCGTGCTTTTAACCAATGACCCGTGTCTCCAGTGCCAGAAAGAAATCTTTCCTAAAAAAGGAAAATACAATTTTCTTATTAATTTATTTTGAATTAAAATAAATTTCCCAAGTAATAGTTACATCTAAATTCTAATTTACAAGTTAAAGTTTTTGTTTTTAAAACAGAATCATAAAAAACTGAATATGCTTTTAACATACATGCACAAATACAATTGCTTATTTCATAATGCAATGAAATAAATAATTCTAAAGGTTTAAGAGATTTCTGAGTTTTTTGTTTGATTAATTTTGCCATCTGAGGTCTTCTGTTCTATCTACTGATAGAATTCTCCTTTCAATTAGAAATTTTAATCTTAATTTTGTTATCTTCAAAAGTTGCTATATTGACTGTTATTTATCTTCCATCTTTAAAATCCAAACTACAATAAATAATACTTATAGATTATGTCCAAGTTCATTAGAATTAAAGTATCTATCAAATAATTCCATCCAAGAACTAAATAATGTTCTAAAATTAAAGTGGACATCTTTGTTAATCCTTATGCTTAATGTGTAAGAAAGTCGACTTGGTGCCATTGGCTCAGCATTTGTAACATACTGAACATAGGTGATTTTTTTTTTAGCCTAATTATTTTTAACTGTGCTGGGGATTCGTTCTAGGGCCTCCTGCATGCTAAGCAAACAGATCATTTTAATTTTTAGGCCAAGCTGTTGGAATTTGTAACAAAGTATGACCATAGTTTTCTTTGTATAATCCTTTGACCATGATACTTCTAACCCTGTGTTTGTTAAGTATGTGTGTAATACACTTACTATTTTGATGCCCACATTGTAATATAAAATCCATTCAAGATCAGAAAACCAAACTGACTTGAAGAAGTATAAAGTATGAATGAAAGGGTCTAGACTCACACACAGCATGCCTCTGGTATCATTTATAAGCTGGACATTAGCATTTTGGTGTCAGTCCCTTGGATGGAAGAGTTTCAATGAGCTGTGATCTGCATCTCAGTTAGAGCAGCTGAATGATTAAATAGAGGAGGGGAATAAATAATGCTGTTGCACAGATACAGTGAGAGCTAATCTCCAGTGTGAAAGGAGAGGGGCCTAATGTTAACACGTTAGCATTTTACAAAAACCCAAACAGGTACACGTGCACATTGAAATGCAAGGAAACTCAAGTGTTAAACTGTTTTGAAAAAGGAAATTAGAATTGAAGCTGACTAAATGGACTTCTTTGCTCAGTTTTTAGAAGTTGAATTCTTAGCATCTAATATGGAACCCTGTCCTTGTCCCCAGTGTGCTTTCATGTTTAAATATCAAGTAAGAATGAAGTTTATGCTTATTTACTTCAATTCAGGAAATTTTACTCTAAGGGAAAGCTAGTTTCTATAGAAAGAGAAAGAAAAGTCAACTTTTCCAGTCACCAACCGAACACCAGACTGAACTGACTTGGTCTCCAGCCTTTGGAGGCTTCTTTGAAGCAGTGTTCTGGCTTGGACTTTCACTGCCTTGCCCCTCACACTGGGTAATTCACTGCACAGTTGGTGTTTTGTTTGTTTTTTACTAGACAGCTTAAGTATCAAATTTCCTGGTAAATTTTGTATAAAGACAAAAATTATTCAGTTCTATTAGCTTCCACGGATAAAATAATAAACACCGAGGCCTTTAACTCATAAAAGTCCATTCAATCTGTAATTTTCCTAAGTGCTGAGCTAGTTAATTCCTAAGGTGGCAATTTTTTATTCCCCCTCGAGATAAGGTTTCTCTGTGCAGCCTTGGCTGTCTTAGGCTCACTTTGTACAGCAGGCTGGCCTTGATCTCACAGAGATCCACCGTCTCTGCTTCCCTGGCGCTGCGATTACAGGCGTGCGCTACCACACCTGGCTAACAACTATATTTTTATACTTATTTTTAAAGCTGGCTGGTGGATTTTTGGTTTATTTTTGACTGCCATCTAGTGGTTTGAACTATTCTTTCACCATAGCCCATTAAATTGGAGGGACTCATTTCTGTATGGAAATACTTAATCATGTTTTGGTGCCTTTGTTTTCACTAGCTGTTGTGTTTAACACAACTAATTTATACAGTTGTTGGAATATTTTGGTGATGGTAATTTTTGAAGCAATCAGTATAAACTATAAATAATATATACTTTAAAGGAGTCACAGTAAAATAAACTGATCTCATTGACAGTTTTTGAACTTTGGCAATTTAAACTTTTTATATATGTAAGTTATTATTTTAATAATTACTATGCTTTTAAACATTAACGATGCACACTACCTTCTCGGTTTTTTGTTTGTTTGTTTGTTTGTTTTTGTAGATGCTACAATTGTGGCGGCCTTGACCATCATGCTAAAGAATGTAGTCTACCTCCTCAGCCAAAGAAGTGCCATTATTGTCAGAGCGTCATGCACATGGTAGCCAACTGCCCACACAAAATTGTCACACAGCTGCCCACCAGTTCCCAGGAGAGACAGGAGGCAGAACCCCAGCCATGTGTGTCTACTTCACCGAGAGAAGCGGGAGTGGGGCATGGCTGCACACCACCATTTCCTCAGGAGGCGAAGTCAGAGATGACAGAACGGTCAGACAGGCCACCCCAAGAAGTCTCTTCCATGAAGGCATTTGTAGCACCAGAAGGGCAAAACAAAAAGGGGCCTTCAATTCAAAAACGGAAAAAATCTTAATACTTGTCAACATTTCTTTACCAGGTTGGGAAGTCTACCTCATGCAAGCACAGGAGAATAGCATTCCACAGAGAGCAGCTGGCCGGGATTTTAACTACTGTTGAGAAACTGTGAATTTTGTAATCAGACAAATCACTCTTAAGCAAATGACATTTAAGCAGGGTGTTGTTTTATAGAACTGAGATACTACATGTAGTGTGTGCATAAGTGAGAGAAGAGACCTGAATCTGTGTGCGTGAGGACTTCACATAGGAGTCCACATACATACATGTATGTGGTTGTCTCTATATGTGTATGTGGAGCATACTCTCTCTCTCAGATAATTGGGCATCTCCAAGCACTGAAAATTATGTGGAGCATTTGCGATGGTTTCAGAATTAACCCTTGGAATTTTTCCTAAGTACTACTTCTTTTATATTATGTAAAATGACCATGTGACTGTTACCTTTCATGTGAGCCAAAGCATACTTCAGATCTCAGAGCTGCCAGTCAATTGGTACTAAAGGCTTTTGGGATACTTGGTGCCTCCCAAGTCTGGTTCATAACTGTGTCTTGATGTGATGGAGTGTTGCTATTGCTGTTATTTGTCTTCTCCATTTGAAGGTAGTAACCTAACTCTAGATGCCTCCAACTGCCATGAGCTTTTCATTCTTGGATACATAACTCCAGAAAAGACAATGAATGTGAAGTTTCTGTGCTGATATTTCAGTGTCTTTTATTCTGTTGTGATTGTAAATTACATGCCTATTAAGAAAAAAGAAGGGGAGGGTAATTATAAATATAGTAATATGATCTTTTTAGTGGTATTTTGATACCAGCTCTTTTCCAAGTGTTCTGAAATTTTTAAGGGATTATGGCAACAGAAGCCTCCCTTGACTAAGTAGCTTTTGAACCATCACTTAGAACAGGAAGGTCTCTTACTACTGAAGCCTTAGAGGAAAACTCTAATTACTTGGGTATATTCTGGTGGCTGTTTTTATTTCCCCTGGAGGGTCCTCAGATCTGTTTCTAAAACAAACAAAAACAGTATAGAAATAAAATAGTGGGATTTAGAGTGAAAATTAAGTAGATGTTCACAATTGCCCAGTAGATACAGCCCATGATCGATACTGAGAAGAATAGTGTTTGGAGGCAGGAAGATAGAATGACAAGCCTGGAGCGAAGGTACCAAATTCCGCACTGCCGTGTGCTAGAAATACTCCAAATGGTAACATTGATGCTGTGGCCATTTCCTTGAGTATAGGAGCTGACATAAACCATGTGATGGATTCAGGATGAACATTCAGGGCTGGTCATAAGAATCTTCTCAGGTCGATTCTCAGTTTGCTAACAGATTGGCTAGGGACTGATCTAGTATAGGTCTGCTTTCTATCATGATTTTTGTTTTGATTTTAGTAAAGTTAGCCTGGTTCTAAATGTGATGAGCAAACTTTTGAAACATCTCCAAGAAAGTACCAAGGAATTGCAGTGCATAATGTTGGCAGTAAATACATGGCCTGTTGGTATAAGCTCAGATAATCAAACACAAAAGCATTGTGACTCAAACGAGACACATTCTACTGAGAAGTTCCTTCCTCCTGTGTGTCTTGTTATGGGAAGTGTGTGTAGTTGCTAAGGTTTCCTTGAGCCACTAGAAGACAAAACAGCCTCCAGCTGACCTGCCAGTCTTTTCCAGATTAGCTTGAATTTCTTGACAGTATTTATGAGAGTTTCCATAGTGTTTTACTGAGATATCATTTTGCTGTAATGCAGAGCTTACCTTTGACGATATTGAATGTGATGTAGCCATAGAGACGTGCTGCCTTGCCTTATGTGAGGATTTCAAGCTTATTTAAATTATGTAGACAAATCAAAGTGTCACCCAAGTATAATGAACAAGCTAACAGTTGTACAAGCAAAATATGATAGGTCACTTTGAAAATTCAAACCAAAGTTCCTTGACTGTAGAAATAGAGGAAATTATGGACTTGAAAATTGGACATTTTGTTTACATATAAAAATTCATAGCAGAGATCATTTTTAAAAAATGAAAGTAGAAAACCCAGAAACGCTTGAACTATGGACCTTATGGGTGCACTTAGCATCTTTTTCAGCATTTGACCAGACTGAATTACTAAGAGTAAGAGCACATAAGAAACCTATCTTATGGTTGAAAGTTGGAGTTTATTTTTTATATGAAAATATTGTCACTGTTACATGCTCAGGACAAAGAACTTTGCTCAGGGAACATACCATTTAATGTTTTTATTATTTCTTTACAGACTAGCCCGTAGTTCTGCTTACTCAAAACAAGCCAAATAAATTAAGTCTTTATGTATGAACATGTACCTGTTAGTAACTACCTCTCAGTTTGACATTGATCATACTTCTGAACAGCAGATATTGGTCCTTCTGTTTTTGTTTCATGTGAAAGTCTTGTAAAGCAAAATTCCACTCCTTGCAGATGTGAATTCAATGATGTGAGCACATTGTTCATTCACACGAGTGAAACATTCTGTTTACAGCAAACGGCTACCTCCTAGCTACTACACAGCACATCTTGCTGCCGCAGCCTTGCAGGCTGCTGATAGTTCTCTGGTACAGACGCTTCTAATCTGTAGCACAGATGGTTATTTACAACCACACGCTTCTGAAAAATGCCTGTAAATAATAGTCCTTCTCATGTTAGGTAGCAAAGTCTCCAAGCATTTCCTTAAAGTTATCATATATTGAGTTTAAGGAGGTATGGGCACTCTTTATCCTAAGTTAAACAGTACACAGAAACAATCTTGAAAATACCTCTGTTGCTGAGAGGTAGGGCCAGGAGGGGTAACAGAGGCAAACTTGGTATTTGTATTTTGCTTACAAGTGTTATAAAAGATTCCTACCCCCTTCACTTGTGTCTTTACTGTACTGAAGGCAGAGCATACCACTGCATTATAAGCCCCAGGCACCTAGCTAACTAGCACCAGCTTGCCCCGGGGGAACGGAAACTGCATTGCCACTCCTGAGCCAGGAGGGAAGGGGGTCTGTGGAGCACCGCTTTGCAGGGGTCCCTAAAAGTGGGCGATGGTCTGAATTTAGCCACCTTTTGACCTCCCCCTCATTTCAACACAAATGTAATTCCTAAAAAATGATGCACTACCAACCAGCCTTTTAGCCTGTGAACTGTTCATTCTCTACACAGCAGGTCATAGTGGAGACATTTTTATACTTGCATTTCTAGTCTTTGGATGTATTTTTACAAATGAAATATTTAGGAAGATTTTTATCTGCTTATAACTTGGAAATTTTAGTGTGCAATCTAAAGGAAAAAAATAAAGACATCATGTTATTAGCATCAGTCCACCTCCCAAATAGGATGTTTTTATTGCCAATTATTTTTATATTCTGGCTCCAATTTATTTTGCACCAGTGCAGGCCTGAGTTGCTGCTGGTTGTATGTAGTTTGTGAATAGAAGCCCATAAGTGTTAATAGACCTTGTAACGTTCACTGTAAGATGAATTATACAGGATGTGGGGAATCTCATTAAGTCTTAAAGTTAATTTAAATTAATTTATCTGTTTTCTCTAAGAAATGTTTATCATAAAATGTATATGTAATTTACCCTTTGGTATAAAATCCAGGAAAGTATGTGCAAGTGGAGTTGCTCCAACTTCTAATTTTCTAATTGTCTTAATGAGATTTATTTGTTTTAGGAAAAGAACAACTTGTTGAAAGCATCCAGTTCTGTCTTACATACTGTCACTGCCTCTTCAAGATGTGCCTGTGTCACCTGTGACCTAGTTGTTTAGTTAGAGTGAAAGGGTGACCTCTGACTCATTGTTGATCTTCTGTTTGGAACGGAGCTCCGGCATTAGGTGGAGTACTGTACTGTGAGGGCGTATTGCAGTATTAAGTATGTCTGTGGCTCACCCCTGCCTGAAGATGACAGCATTGACTACCTCCTCAATCATTTGTGTCTGTCAACCACAGGCACCTACTGCCAAGCTGGCTTTAATTACTGTGTGCTGATGTGTGTGGTGGTAACAACTCTAACCAGAAAAAGACCAAAGTGAACCCTGACTTCGGTGTGTCTTTAATACAGTGTTTTATCTAGTATTTTAAAATTACCTTGTGTAGTGTTTAGATTACCTCCGTCTGTATTGATTCATGTTGTTTACAAGTAAAAAAGGTGTAAAAATCACTTGAGCTCCTGTTAGAAAGAAACAAAAAAGGAGTTGCTATTCGAATGGCACGCTGCATTCTGCCACCTCAGTGGGCCGTTTGTGCTTCTGCAGACATGGGCCTAGTATTCTCTTTTTGTGCCAGATGTCTTACTGTTAGCTATTGATATTTTGAAGTTTAAAATTACATGATAGAAAATAAAAGATACTGTGTTGACGTTTATGATGGGTTTGGAGATATTTTGTGTGTGGTTTCTTTGACTGAGAAATTAAGTAAATGAATAAAGGGCCCTTTTGGAGGTGTGTGTGCCAATGTGAGAGTGAGATAAAGATTTCAGCATGGTCTGGTAGCAGTGGTAACCATGGAAGTTTTGGGTTTTTTTTTTCGGGCTTCTCTTCATCTGGATTGTCCAGTTTTATCAAACTTTTAGAAAAGTGTAAATCAAGACATACCATTTGTGTGGCCAGAAAGAATGGCATGAAGCATTAGAACCCTTAGGAGGGATCATTTTAGAACTTTCTTACCAGGTTTCTCCTAATAATTATAAGGATTTGGAAAGAAGAAACGAGGATACCCCAGTACCAGAAATCTAAAATGTTAGTGTAACTTGATCAACTGTGTTTAGTAGTCATGTACTGTCAAAATAAATTGGTGAAACTGTTAAATGCTATACACTGCCCGGTACCACAATTAAACTCATTTTCTACTCTATTCCTGGATGATTGGCTTTATTATTTGGTGGTCGATGGCCCCTGCATTATTTATCATTCTTAAGAGTTAAAAACACTTTTAAAAGTGTGTGTGTGTGTGTGTGTGTGTGTGTGTGTGTGTGTGTGAAGTGCAGGTGCCCTTG